CCTGGGCTGTATCAAAAGAAGTGTGGCCAGCAGATCAAGAGAGGTGATTCTGCCCCTCTACTCTGCCCTGGTGAGACCTCACCTAGAACACTGCATCCAGCTCTGGTGCCCCCAGCACAAGAAGGACATGGACCTGTTGGAACATGTCCAGAGAAGGGCCACGAAAACGATCCGAGGGCTGGAGCACCTCTCTTATGAGGAGAAGCTGAGGGAGTTGGGGTTGTTCAGTCTGAAAGAGAGAAGGCTGTGGGGGGACCTCATAGTGACCTTCCAGTACATGAAGGGACTACAGGAAAGCTGAGGAGGGACTTGTTATAAGGCTTTGTAGTGAGGACAAGGGGTAATGATTTTAAACTGAAAGAGGAGAGATTTAGGTTAGAGATCAGGAGGAAATTCTTTCCTGTGAGGGTAGTGAGACACTAGATCAGGCTGCCCAGAGAAGTTGTGGAAGCTCCATCCCTGGAAGCATTCAAGGCCAGGTTGGATGGGGCTCTGAGCTACCTGATCTAGTGGGAGGTGTCCCTGCCCATGCAGGGGAGTTGGAACTTGATGTTCTTTAAGGTCCCTTCCAATCCTAAGTGTTCTATGATTCTATTATTAAAAATACTTGTGTGTCAATGTGTAAACTACTTTTAAGGCTCAGGACTGAGCTCAACCATCTAACCCGGTCTCCTGCTTAACACCAGCCATAGTATGTGACCACATACACCTTTTCAAGTCCTGACTCTGGCAGAGCTGCAGCATTTCCTTTAGAAAAGGATCTGGTCTCATCAGCTAGTAGTAGAAATCCTTCTTATTCAATTTAAGTAGCATCTGCCTTTTTGCTTCTTAAGCGCCCACTCCAGTATTAAATGCTGCACTTGGCATAATTGATTTAGCTTAATCCTCCTATACAGCCTCAATGGCTCTTAGTAAGAAAAGGCATTTATAATATATTTTTTAAAACCAAGACTGATATTTTACAATCTCTGTTCAGTCTATATTAGGGCTGAAAGATACTATCTTGATAAAGAACAGCAACAGCAGATCTGTTCATTATGAGATTTGTTTTTCTAAAGTGATTTCAGAAATACTGAATAAATGTCTCACACTTTTGTACTTTGTTCATTGCCATTTTGCTTTTACTGAAGATTTTTTTGGTTTTGTACCTGCTGAGTAGTTTCAGCTTGCCTGTATGAAAGTGACTGTACATAAGTAGCAGTGTTTTGCAGTCTGAGAGTTCATGCCACTTTTTATAATATAGTCTGCTGGTTTGTCTTTTTCTAAGAGGTGAAATTAATGTCATCTTCCCAGCAACATATCTTCTATTTACAAAGAACATTTATGAATTTTTAAACAAAGTCAGAATGGAAAAATCTAGGACATTTCTTGCTAGTATTCCAAGCCTACGTTTTAGAAGTTTTGTATCCCAAGGAACTTAGCCCTTCCTCACTCATGGAACTATGTTTCTCTTCCCTTTGTTCACATCCTGCAGTGCTGGGTTGATTTGTGCCAGCTTTCCTGCAGCATCCACCCTTGCGCACCCTCCTGTGTGAGTGATCAGTGCTCCACTGCTACATCCCAATTCAGGTGCCCAGGGCAACACATTCCCCTGTCCTTGGGCTTTGCAGGTGCTGATCTGCCCAAGGCTTTCACTGTTTCAGACCTCATTGTGTAGATGGGCATGCTACTGCAAGTTAACTTTGCCTGAACAACAGTTGCTTAAATGCACATCAGATTTACCCAAGTTTGTGCTTGCTGGTGGTCATGAGCACCTACCAGCATAGTAAGATGTGTTCTCTGTTCTTTTGGAAGCAGAATCCAAAGCCTAGAAATATTACTAACATTACACAAGAACCTAAACAGATACATGCAGATTGCTTGGATAGCGGTTTGGTTTCATTGTAAATCAGAATCAATATGGACATGCTTTCATTACTTCTATAAAAGCTATGACTTACCAACAATGTGTCTTGTAACATTTATAATTTGTACTTTGTAAGATCTATAAACCTGTCTCTCATGTATGTGACGTTTTCTGTTGTCGTTCTAGAAATGATGAGGACTGGAAGGAATGCCCTGATTATATCACCGCAGGAGAAAATAGCTGTTATTTCAATACATCCTACACCTCTATTTGGATACCATATTGTGTTAAGCTTGCCAATAAAGACGAAGTATTTGATGAAAAATGTTTCAGTGTTGATGAAATAGGTATGCTTCCATTATGCTTTTTCCCTCTATATTTTTATATCACAATAGACAGGATGCTGTAAGCTTTTGTATTACGCACACTGGGTTTAAATTTTCCTTTTCTGAAAGGTTAGTTTCTAAAAAAATACAGTATGTAGGAACAGGTTTGGGTTTGTAATGTATGCAATGTGATCCACAGCAGAAAATATTGCCCAGACTGTAAGAAAATTAAAAGGATGAAAACAAATACCTGTTTCTTCTTTCTGAATACCAGTGGTCTCTTAAATGTGTGCAGATGAGTTTGCCTGTGCTGGGTCCTAATACCCTTGTTCAGTGTGAGCAAGGATGGCTTTAAAATCTTGATACTTCAAAGTTCTGGAGCTAAACAGTTTTTTGTTCCTGAATCAATGCTAATCAACTGAATCAGGATGTTTAGCATTTCTCAGCTAGAATATATAGGTTTTATATTTAAATTTTTATGCATATATATTGTATATTCTATTTATTGCAATATGAATTATGACTGTCTGAGACTTTTTAGATGTTATTGCTTGTTCAGAGCAGTGATGTGTTTATACATAATTAATTTATTCCTGCAAGTGACTATAATACCTGCTGCTTTCTTTTCTTCAGCTGAACAAACTCAGCTTAATTTTTCAGTTTGTCAATGTACTTTTATATTGGTTACTAAATATTTTATTTGTCTTTCTGTGCTAGTCCAATTATTGTTTTTATTTCTAGTGAGAAATCTAAGTTTTAATAGAGAATTGTTTATGTCTCAATGTTTTATGAGCTACTATTGGAAAATGTAGTGTAATAAGTAATACATCTTTAGTCTTCCTTATTAGTCACTCAGATCAGATTTCTGCTGAGCCTGTCTACCACCAATGGCAGGGTGCCTTCATGTTACCAAACTTGTAGTGGCTTTGTCATTGACTTATAGGCTTAGATTTTAATCAGCAAGTATGTGGTAAATATGCTTTTTTAGTCCCAAAATCCTTTAACAGTGTGTACTAGGAATGATCATGTCACATTGAAAACTCACTGTTTTATTCCAAATACTCTGTTTAAACAGTACTACCTGATCCCCCTGTCCACCTTAACTGGACTCTGCTAAATACTAGTCAGACTGGGATCCATGGGGATATTCAAGTAAGATGGGATCCACCACCAACAGCAGATGTCCAGAAGGGATGGATTACTCTGGAGTATGAATTGCAGTACAAAGAAGTTAATGAGACAAAATGGAATAAGGTATGAAGTAAATATTTATTATACAGTAGTCATAATACAGTGCAGGCTTGTTCTGTCCCTAACACTTCTCTACGGGTATGAAAAGTAACAGGTTTATGATTGCTACTGAGATGATACCTTAAGTCTTCAATAATATGCCCATATTCTTCTGAAGTTTTCCAGGAAACATTGTAACTTCGTCAAGATAGTTGGCACATGGAATAATAATAACAAACCCTGAATTCCCTGTGTAGATTAGGAAGTATAGCAATCGTTAGATAAATACAGATTTTTTTTCAATTATAAAAATACTGTTTTCTTGAACTCCAGCTATTTGAAACAGTATTTTTAGTAGCTGGAACAGGAATATTTTGCTTAGAAATGTCACCAGGTCAGTTCAGATTCTTCAGGGTACCTGTAAAGTTCTAATATTTATAATTATTATTTCAGTGGATTAAAAAAAATATTTATTTATATATTTATATATATATATAAGCTTTGCATTATAATTTTAAATTTGATACAATAAGCAAATAAAAATAATGAAACATACATAAGACATACCAGGCAGAAATGGGAAATCTGTGACTGTATATATTGCCCCATTTAAAAAAAAAAATTAAAAAAAAAAATCTATATCTATAGCCAAAATATTTTAAGTTTTCTTTTTGAAAACACTTCACTTCTTATGTAGTTAGTTTTGCTGCTACAGGAAAGAAATTGTTTGCATATGGAGAACTCTTCCTGAAAACCAGTACAGTGTAGTAACAACATAATTTCAGAGCAGAACTAGCAGAAGAAATGCAGATAATACTGTTAGGAATTTGTCTTAATCTACAAAAGGCAAGTTTACCAATTGAAACATAGTCAAACTAGTTTGCTTGCCTTCATCTGTGAAAGACCTTGGACCTCTTCTTGCCTCTGACCCTTCTCAATGTCTGCATTTTATGTTTATCCTACTCCATCTTAGTAAGTCTACAGTCAAACAGGCCTATTTTCTCTTTAACTTTCTGCTAATACTTGCCTGAATTTCCCTCTATACTGGTTTAATTTATACTTACTTTACAGCCTCTGTACTTTAAATCCTACAAAATCAGTTAAGTTTAGACAGTGAATCCATACACCTTAAGAACCTGAAAATCAGCAGAGCATTTATGGGATTTAGAAAAGCAGGTGGCAATACAGATACCTCTTTAAATATGCATAATTTCTTTTAAGCCTTTAGGCATCAATAGTGTAAATATGTCAATAAAGCTCCATTCTTCCTTCAGTACCATCAATAATTCCATCATGCCTTGAGAATAGTTCTTATCAAAAGAGCAAACGTGTGAAGTTCAGTGTATCTTCCTTCAGAAAAAATAAGGAATTGCTGAATTCTCTACTTGCCTCAAGAAAAATAGTACTATAGATTATGTTCCAGTGCAGCTGTGTATATTGCATGTTACTGAGCCTTTCAGCTTAAAAGCACAAACATGGCATAATTCCTTGAGACACTATCAGAGCACAAAAGAGGATTTTCTGAACAAAATTTTTGTCTGAGCCAAGACAATAGGAAAACTCTGAGTAGCAGTACTGGAGCAGTGATTTCACTTTCTGCAGTCTTTGCTACAGGTATCTTCTGTAATGAGTGTTGAAGCAGTAAAGAGATAGAACATTTATTTATACTGCTGCTACTAGATTTTAATACAAAAGATAATCTTTGACTGGTGAAATATACCATCATGTTTTGTACATAAAACAAATGCAAAATTGTTAAAAAAATAATTTACAGTATTTAAGTAGTTCTAAGTCTCCATGTTACTGAGACTTGTTTGTAATTTTTTTAGATGTTTTGGTTTGAACCTGTTCCATTTTTCATGTATATCATCCCATTTTTTCCAATCCATTTACTAATTGAAAATAGATAACTTACAAATTGAAAGAGGACTAAAACATTAATTAGTAAAGTTTTATAACAGTAAGTGGTAATGATAAGGGGATCAAAATTATTTTCTGAGAAACTTCCTGAAAACAATGAAATCCCCACCCACATATAGTGGGTGTTCCTGAGATAGATGCAAATGTAATCTGGCTCACAGGTGGAAAAAAATGTAATCATTGTTATTAGCTCCCTACAGGATATCTTTTTGGAATTCTACCCTCCTATCTTGAAGCGTTGCCCATTACATTCACTAGACTAAAATAGTGTCCTCTTATGTCTATCCAAGGTTATCAGTTGTGACTAGCACTAGCTATACAGACCCTGTGTTTATCAAACGAGGTGTGAAAATTCACATCACCGGAGCAATAGTGAAGAATGATGACTTTGTAGTGAAGTGTCTGTTTATGAAGTGCCTAAAAATGTGTGTGTGGTTGGGAAACCTGAAAGTGTAATTTTCCTTTAGTTATTGATCATATTTTAGATTGACCCAGTCTTTTGACTTACAAAAAAAACCCCAAACAACACAGACACAGATCCACCTAATTATGTGATGAAATGGTAATCACAGCTCAGTCCTCAGTGAAGCGGGCTGGACCAGGGAGGACTCTGCTGTCTCTCATTATCTTGATTATTTTTTTCTGGAAAAGCTTGCTTTCACACTGCAGTGAAGTGCACTCAGGGCAGGGAACATGGAGTGCTAACTCCAGAGCTTAACACCATCGATATGTCCATATGGCAGTGTGGCTGATATACAGGGCTTCCTAGTTTGCGGGATACAAAACTCATCTCCCTGCACTGCACTGGATGCACAGCCCAATATCTGCATCTGTTGTATGGATGCCCAACCCTGTGCTATGCCTCTGAACCTTTCCCTGGTAATGCAAATCTCCCCGTTTTCATCATTTTTCTGTTGGTGAAAACCATTGCCTTGGTTGCTGTGTTACCTGTCATGCCTGAGCCAGCCTCTGCCTCTGGCGCCCTCATCCCAGCAGGCACTCTCAGTGTCCCAGGGTTGCAGCTGACCAGTGACAGGCAGTTGCTCAGTGTTAACCCCCTCCTACAGCACCAGACTCATGCAGGCAGCATGGTGACATGGCCCAGCGGGACAGCAGGTTTGTCACACATGTCTGTAGTGGGGCAGTCACAAGCATCACTCTGTGTACAGTGACTGAACAGCATGCCCTAAGTCCAGAAACACAGCCATCTGCTTCCAAGCTCCCCGTCACATGCCTTACATGGGTTTGCTATATGCTGTCATGCATAGTTATTAATTATCTTTTCTCTCTCTGATATGGTTTTTAATTTATTTAATCCATATGACAAATGCTATTCATCTGTTCACTTAATGCTGAGCCTGCCCCCATCTATACATTTTGCTCCATCCAGGTGCCTTACATAAAGTTTCATTAGTTCATTGACATCCTGCCTGTTAATCAACTATCTGGGCTTTAGCAACTCTTGAAATTTCAGGTACATGGCTACTGTAATTATACCTCATATTTTTCAGGGCTCTAATTGAGCCCACCTTCTGCTTTTTCCAAGTGCTACCATTATTTGGGGTATATAACATTTTCTGCTGTCCAGTGTCCCTGAGAAAATCCACTAATTGTCTCAGAAAAACGACAAAAAACTCAACCAATTTTAAAAAAAAAATTTTTTTTAATCTACCTGTAAAACTTTTGTATACTATTTATTTTTTGCTTCATCTCACAAAGTAAACTGAAGTAACAAGTATTGTATTGTATTCCCTTTTTTAATCTACCTGTAAAACTTTTGTATACTATTTATTTTTTGCTTCATCTCACAAAGTAAACTGAAGTAACAAGTATTGTATTCCCTTCCCAACACTTCCCAACTGGATAGTCTTGATATGTTAAAAAAATTTAGTGGTACAGAGCAATGGTTCTCTACATGCTTAACAACTAGCAGAGAAAAGCAGACTATCTGGGATCACTGCCTCCTCCAAAATCTGACTGGTTGGTTCACAGAACACTCAAGTCTGGAGCCACCAGGGATGAGAGAACTCCACAGATCATAACTACCAACAGAATGTGTCTCAAGTTTAGATTATGCTACTGCAGTGATTATAGGATTACTGTTGAAGCTTTCTTCAAATTCTCAGTAGCTGCTCCTTTCCAGGTGTTTTAATTCCTAGCCCACAATGACTTTGCCAGTATTATTCTTGATTCTGAAGTAAAAGTAGAATATAACATCTGCCACATGGATTTCTATTTTGAGCACATTTTCCTTATTTTTATATACTTTTTGCTGGGCTGTTGGAGATAAAATACATATTCTTAGAGGAGTAATAGAAGAGAGAAATTTCACATAAGACCAGTAATGTAACTTCCTACATAATTTGCTATGCAGCAGTATCTAACTGTGTTGCAGTTAATTCTTAAGAACTTGTAAGACTGTCAATATGATGCCAACTCTCCCAGAGTCTCCTTTGTCATATTTTACATATAGTTGAAAATTTGAAAGCTATGCAATGTTCCCCAAACAAATGCATTTGTAAGATGCAACACATCTGATTAGAAAGCCTTTACGTCATTTTCCTTTTAAAAATTAATTTCGTAGTGGACATTGCACTGGTTTTAAGACTAATGTTTTAACAAGGTTTCTGGCCTTGTGAAGTCAGTAATGTTGTGTTATAACAGTTAAAAGGATTTACATCTTGTTGCAGTCAGTGGGAGATGTTCACACCACCTACTTAAGGCATGTAACTAGGGAAGCTGCCTTTCTTCACTGACTCTATTTACAGAGAACTTGGATTCTCCTCTTTTGGTCCCCTGGATCACAGCAAAGCCTGATGGGTAGTGAATGAAAAGTAAATGGTGTGAATTTTCTCTGAACTATCTTGTGGTATCTTACAGCAACCAAGTAGCAAAAAAAGTCAAATGTTTATTTCATAAATCAAGAAGCATTCTAAAACTGCCAGTACAACTACAACAAATGACAATCCTTCTGTCTTTACAGTTAAAACCCGAGCTCTCAACAATGGTTCCACTGTACTCTCTGAAGATGGGAATAGATTATGAGATACGAGTCCGATCAAGACAACGTACCTCCGAAAAATTTGGGGAGTTCAGTGAAATCCTTTATGTGTCATTTTCTCAAATAGGAGTTGAATTTGTTCATTGTGCTGAAGGTAAATAAGCAAAGCGCAGCAAAATTCTTTTATAACCATGCTGCCTTTTTGTCTTTCCAGTGTTGTTAATTTTTTTCTTATTACTGTTAATGTTGTGTGCTTTAATAGATTCAGCCTACTACATGAAAAATGCTTGATGAGATTTGAGAATGGACAAGTTGCCTATACAACCCAGTAAACTCAGCAAGACTGTTTCACACCTCATTAGAGAGCAAAAAATGCAGATAGCTTTAAGAATCCGAAATAATAGCTGTAGTTGCACATCTTATAGAGCCTAAAATACAGCCAAATATGATGCTTTATCATCTAAAATGAGCACTCCAGTAGTGAAGAAATGTCACTTCTACTGAAGTGTTATACTGCTGGCTACGTTTGCTATCAGAATGATGTGCTTTTCTGATATGCTCAATACTATGAAGGACAATGAGTGTTTTTCTGATTCTTATTTCTGTCTTTTACTTGTTTTTAAAGGGCTAGTAAAGACAGAGAAGAAGCAGCCATTGAGCACCACATTTTTTTTTTATTTAAAGAATGAGACAATGCCTTTTCCTAAAGCATTCTCAGGTCTAAGCTACTTAACTCTGCAAAATATGAGCTCTTCAGCAAATTATTTTAACAAGCTGCTTCATTTCATCTTCCAGGGCATTAGTGAAGGTGTTAAACTACCTATAACTCTTTCAAAAACTTGCTAGATTCCCCTTTTTAACTCTCTGTATTACTAGTTTTTCATTCCTGGTTTATATGAACTGCTAATCTTCTGAACATGTGACATTATCTTATTAACCCCAGCTGCATTAAGTTGTTAAGCTTTAAATATGAAGAAAATTAAAATACTGTGAAAATCTGAAGCCATACTACAAGCAGTTTTCTTCAGTTACTACAACTCAGATTCTGCAGCTTGATCCATATCCATACATCTCACACAGCAGCAGTGATCTGATTTGATTGAGTGTTTATTCTTGCTTGGTTTTTTATCACATTTAGGAACACAGAATGAAAATTTCAATTTTCTGTGTATTAAAAATATGAGGTAGTGAACTTCAATAGTTTTCACTTTTTGAAGCAGCTGGACATTCATGGGCCTTACTGACATGACAAGGAGTTGCAGGTTCTCCATTAAACTAGGGAGAGGAGAGGGAAGGGGAAGGGAGGGAAGGGGAAAAGGAGGGGGCGGGAGGGGAGAGGAGGGATGATGCCTGTGATTTAGTATGCTATTAATAATATTACTCCAGCTTGGGCCAACAACCAGTAGCATTATGTGCCATCAGGACTACTGCTACTGTGTTCCAAGCAGGCAGAATATTCCTCATTTCTGGTTTTGCCACGTATATTGTCTGTACTAAGATCTTACTTATATTTAAAAAAACAGCCTGTTTTTGCAAGGGATCTGAGTGGACTCACAAATGCAATATGGAAACCATTGAGAACAAAAGGTTATATTTATTTCTGCCACACACAGAACTTTCACATTTAAGTAACCAAAAATTCTCCTATCATTTTTCACCACACTGGAATCCTCCAGCAGTGGAAGAAAAGGTTGGAAATTAAAGATGTAGCTGAGATGCAGATTCCTGCTAACATGTTTTTGTTCTCTTGTTTCAGAAATTGAGTTTCCATGGTTCTTAGTCGGTATCTTCGGATCATGTGTGCTGGCCATAACAGTGATCTTAATCCTGCTGTCTAAACAACCAAGGTAGAGATTTTTTATTTGTTACATTTTATGTACTTGTAGCCTAATAAATAGGGTTCTTCAATGGTTTCAAATCTAAGAGACTAGAAACTATTTTGAAGCTTGTTATCCATTCTCATGGGCTATATTGGTGCTGCCATATGTATGTAATGGGCCTCCAGCATCTGATTATGTTGACAGCTCCTTTTCCTTTTGGATTTCAAAACATTTTATTCTACAGTATTTACATGGTTAATTTGCTTAGGCTTTGAACGGGATTGGTTTTGTAAATACTGTTTTTATCTACATACTGTTAGCAAGTTTCACACAAACATACGTCTATATATGTTTTTGTTCTTAGACTATTGTGCTAGTAGCTGACTAATTCTTCATCGACTGAAGGGACAGAGCTTGAGTCACAGGGGAGTATTTGGTCTCTGTGGATAGACTGCAGCACCTATAAATAACAGGAATAAAACAAAACAACGCAGCACCAGACTGTGTCATTTATAAAAATTATAAAATTGTGTCATTTATAAAAATGAAACAATGACACATATGTCTAAAAATTACAAAATGGTCTCAAAGTGAATTCATCCTCTAATGTGTGTGTTCAGGGGTAGTTTTTGGCAGAATAATTCATCTTGGATGTCACAGTAGTACTGTCTTAGAATGTGGAGCAACACCATGCTCAAGTCCAAGTGCATGCATGCACGTGGTCTTGTATGTACACTTCAGAAATGAACACTGAGGTGTTTTGCACATACCAGTGTAAGGACAAGTCATCAAAATGAAAACAAGATGGTGCAGTTGGAGCATCTCTAAAAAAATAGTTTAGGGAAACAGCACTATGCAGTTTCATTTCAGGAAGCCACCCCCTGCAATAGCATCACAGTCCCAGAGTTAAGAGCAAGGTTCTTCCAATGCATGACAAAGGCTCGATGTGTCAAAATGGGGCAAGAAGAATTTGCATGAGAGACCAGGAGCTCCCTAAAATCAGCACACTGAGCAAAGAGTGGTTTGGTCACAGAAGATGCTGAGAGCTGAAGGATGTCTCTGATCAGACCCTATTGATATCTTTCATCCAAATCATGACTGCTGGAGGAGGCTTCTCTCCACTGTAGATCCTTCATCTGAAAAGCTTCTCTGGACCTGTGGGCATACACCCTTTCCTTCAAACTGGTGCACATAGTGCTGGGAGTGGCAATATATCCCTCAGAGGAGCAGGCTGCATAGATTTTTCATAACACAGAATATCCAGGCTTAGTTTCCTCCTGCTTCTGAAAGTATACCAAATTGTATTTTCCTCAATTCTGATCTGACAAGATCTGAATCAGCCTCCCTAGGACAGGGACCATATGGTTAGGCCATACTCTTTTAAAAAAAAAGTTGACTTATGCAGTGCTAAGAAAGGAGCAGAGCATAGTTCTTCCCAAATTACATATCCAGGCAGTGAGTGGTAAAATCCTTTGTCTGTTTTGTTAGCTGATGTGTGGATTCAACTGTAAGTGCAAATCATAAACTGGTACCCCTAGAGCCCAGCCAGTGCACAGCTAACACAGCCCTTCCAGGGATTAGGTGGAAAATTACTGGATTTCTGGCTCTCATTGAGGCTTGCTGGGCAAAACTTTGAGGGTCTGCCAAAACCAAGAACAGCTAGAGAATCTGAGCCCTCCATAGTTAAGCAGAACATGCCTAAATTTCTCTCTAGCACTTTTTAAGACTTCTCTGATCCTCTCTGGACCTCACCAAGGCTACTAACAATGCAGCAAAACTAACATTTGGATTTAGATCTACCATTTTCACAGTTTACTATCTAAAACAGGCAAGTAGCCCAGTATAAAGACAAAGCTGAATTTTCCTATTGGGAAGTACAGTATACCTGCTTGCAAAAAAAGAATTAAGGAAAGTAAAATGGAAGAGATAGACATGACTTGCTGTTGCTGAATTACTATTAATGGAAAATGATCCTTTGATTTGAGTTTTCTTGTTTTCTTTTTTCTTTTTTTGTCCCCTCTTTTTTTCTGGTCCTTTCTCTACAGGGTAAAACCCTGTCATTATTATATATTACTTGTTATGTCAATTATTAAAAAAAACCAAGTGTCACAGGCATGGCAAAATACTAGCCTAAGTTTTTGCTGTTGTGTTTCTGTTTTATTTATTAGTTCTAAAGTAATTCAGTCTTTTCAACAACTCCCTTTTTTGTTCTCCTATTTAAATTTATTTGGATTACATAAGACTACTGTGTCTCTGGAAAAAAAACTGGGGGGAGTCATCCTGCACACTGAGGCTTGTATCAGGTTTCTTTGAAAATTGTGTAAAAAGGGAAACTATTGATAGATCTCTAGGAATTTACTCTTTCTGTAGAGCATTAAATTGTTCAAGACTGGAATCCAAAATGGATTTCCACATAAATGGGTGTGACTTCAGCAAGGAAGTCTGCAGAAAACTTGAAGTTTTGAATCTTCAAACATTTCAGCTTTGAAATAATTAGGTATCAACACAACAAATCTTCTTTGTATCTTCCTCAAAAAGAACCACTGTTGATTAAAAGCCATCATTCATTTTTTTTCCAGGTTAAAAATGCTGATTTTTCCTCCTGTACCAGTTCCAAAGATTAAAGGGATTGACTCAGATCTCTTGAAGGTAATATTGTGCTCTAAAATCTACAGTGGGAATCATGGTATTAGCAGGTGCCAATTGTTGTCCCAGGCAATACATTTTTTACAACAAGGGGGTGGGGTTGCAACAGCCTTAGTTTTTATAAATTAATTTTTAAAAACTTGCAATTATTACATCTGCTGCAATTACCTTTCCTTAAGTTAACATCATAAAAAGCCCAAGTGTTTTTATTATTTCCTGTATAACATTATTTTTTTTTGCTTTATAGAAAGGAAAACTTGATGAAGTGAGCTCCATCTTAGCCAGCCATGACAGCTACAAGACACAGCTATACAGTGATGATTTGTGGGTTGAGTTTATTGAGTTGGACATAGAAGACCCAGATGAAAAGAAGAGAGTCTCAGATACTGACAGGCTCCTGAGTGAAGAACATCTGAAATCACACAGTTGCTTGGGAGCAAAGGATGATGACTCTGGACTGGCCAGTTGTTGTGAACCAGATATTCCAGAGACAGATTTCAGTGCAAGCGACACATGTGAGGCCATCTCTGATATTGATCAGTTCAAAAAGGTCACTGAGAAAGAAGAGGATCTCTTGTGCCTTGATAGAAAAGAAAATTATGAGTCTCTTCCAAGCCTTGCCAACACAGATGCCCAACAGCCGCGTGTGAGCACTCGGTCTGGCAACAGCCAGCCATGGCCACCTTTTGCAGGCAGCACTGACTCAGCCAGTCCACTGATCCATGCCCAGCTGAGTCACCAGAACACATTGACAACTACTGACTTTTACGCGCAAGTGAGTGATATTACTCCAGCCGGACGTGTCGTACTTTCACCAGGGAAGAAATCCAAGATGGGGAGAGCACAGTGTGAAGGCTGCATGGAACAAAACTTCACCATGGACAGCGCCTACTTCTGTGAGGCAGATGTGAAAAAATGTATTGCTGTGACTTCCCACGAAGAGGAGGAGCCACGTGTTCAGGAGCAAAGCTGTATCGACAATGCTTACTTCACCACAGAGAGCCTTACCACTACCGGTATCAACCTTGGAGCTTCAGCTGCAGAAGTTCAAGCCCCAAGTTCAGAGATACCTGTCCCAGACTATACATCCATTCATATTGTTCACTCTCCACAAGGCCTTGTGCTCAATGCAACTGCACTGCCTGTGCCAGACAAGGAATTCAACATGTCCTGTGGCTATGTGAGCACAGACCAGCTGAACAAAATGATGCCGTAGCTCTTCTTTGACTAGGTGTGCGTAGTGTTTTACAGCAGAGGGTCAGCTCAGGCTTGTATGCTGAAACCAAAATGAAGTCTAAAAGTTTCTCGTGGTTCTTAAAATTCTATCTGAAATGTTGCAACATAAAATATTCATCACAATATTCCTATTGTGTTCTGTAAATATTATCTATTAATTTGTCTTGAGACTGTTCTACTAGCAGTGGCTGTCTTGTTCTTGTGGGTGTTGATTTTTGTGATACTAAACATTGAAATTACTATGTTTAATGTACAGTGAATCATGCTTTTTGATAAAGCTAAAAATTATGTGGTTTAAAGACTAAGAATTTAGTAGAAGCTGTGCTGTTGGCAGAGATCTTTGTATCAGTAATTGGGAACTGAACATATAGGTTAAAAAATGAAAGTAGCTTGAATAAATAAAACATCTATTTTGATTTATACAAATTAATAACATATATTTTAATATTTTAGTCACAAAAACCTATTTTCTATTAAACTACACACTGTAATTAAATTAGGATGACCCACCTAAGGAATGTAATTGCTGCAATCTTAAAAAGTTTTCTGTTTTATAAAAGTTTTGTCCGGAGTACAAAGAAAAAATAGATTTTTACAGAGCCATTTTATACCTCCAAAGAAACCCATAGAGAAAGTTTGAAATATTGTAGAAACTTAAAGTAACTGATTCTATTACTTTCTTATGATAACTAATACAGAAATACACATTCAATTTGAAGTTTTGTAGAGAATTTTAAAATATACAAAATATTTGGGCAAATTATTCTGTTGTTCATCAGATTCTAGTTAATGCTAATACTACATTTTTTATAAGTAAAATTTTCTTGACCACAGTATTAAACAGTGTGCAACTACACTTTCACTGAAAATTTTTAAGAACACTTGAATAAGCTCTGGTGACTTAGCAGCATAATCTCTTCACATTTGACCAACTTCTGAAGCCCTCCTAAAACCAAAGGAATCATGACATATATTACTTTGCACCACATAAAGTCCTGATTTTAAAAAATAAAATAAGGACTTCAGGAGTTAGCCAGCAGTTCATTTTAAAAGATATAACAGGATTAATAGACTTCAGTGGAACAAGGGGATTGAATACAGTTTTATTCAAATGTCTTTTTTTGTTTTTCCAGCCTAACAGCATCTCCTCTGACCACGTTAGGCAGACATTCAGAAGTAAAAGGGGAGAAAACTTAAAACTCAGTGGGAAAGCTCTCTTTGTTCTTAATTATGTTAAGAACTTGACTGAGCTTTGCAATTGCTGCTAATGCTTTAGAAGTTACCTTTCCAGGCCACAGTTTCAACATAGCAGGGTTCTTCTCAGAATCTAGGATTCTTAGAAAGCAAATAGGGATGTTAATTTCTTCTCTCTGGCCTGAACAGAAGTGTCTGAAGTGCAGCGAGTGCAGGTCTTGCTCATAATGTCTCCCACTGAACTCTGTGATGCTCTCTTTGTGACCAAGGGCTACAGGACTGGGCCCAACTCTTGGATGGGATTTTTAAGTTTAGCACGTACTTTATGGTAAATGTGCATTAGATATTCTGCTAATTTGCTGCTATATTTTTCTAACAGCTACATTATTTAGTTTCATATAAAATTTCATAGATGGTAGACACTAATGCAAGTAATGCCTACGTGTGTGTTTGGAAGAAGTTTCTTACTCTGTTTCTATTGCCAAAAATAGTTAAATACCTCAATCAAACTCAGAATGTCATTTTGGTACTTTACTGGTCACATAAGCCATTATACGCTGGTCAGAAGATGTGTCTTTCAGTTTCTATTTAACTTTCCTTATGTCAGTGTTTTGTTTGTTTTTTCTCCAAGTTTAATAAATGTATTGTCTTTGACCTGCCCTGACCCAATGTGTTTTACTGCAAATAACCCATTTTTAATGGAAAACCTGGGGTTTACTGGGATAAACGAAGCATTCCTCATTTAATGAAGTAGAATGCAGCTTTCCTTAGGATAGAAGCAATGCCTAATGAGATCGGCATTTTCACTGAATGATATGTTTATAGTTAAAATTAGAAGCATGGAGCTAAATTTACAAATAAGACCTGCTGTGCCCAGAACTGGCCAAGACGTGTTACTGATACAGCAGGCCAGTTTACCTTTGGCTGGAATAGCCTGTGGTTGCAAATAATAAGCTGCACTATTTCAAGATTGATACCTACAGCTGAATCCACGTATCAGATATCCTGACAAACCTCCATAGTTATTTGTAGTGATAGTTGAGGTCTGAAATGTCAGATAGCCTGTCTCTATGGAAAATGCCGTATCTTCAACATCTCCCAGTGTATAACTTAGTGATGTTCTACTGCCTCTCTTCTCTCTCTAGAGGGAGGGACAGAGCTGTTGGAGAAATCCAACCAGAAAAGGATAATGCCTCAGGGGAATCAGGGTGTGATTCAGTGACTCTGCAGAGAAGCCCAGTATCATTTAAGGTATGTAATGGGGCTTCCAGGTGCTGGTCCAGAGCACCACAGGACTTGTGTAGATCCCATCTTACCTAAAAGCCTGAACGATGGTATATGCCCATGTTTTGGCAGTGGAAGAAAACAGCCCCAGGAGTGTATCTGTGTCAGGCAGGACTACGTCATTACAGTCATTACATCATTACAATTAACAGCCTATAGAGCTACTTTGCTGATCAGATTTAGCTGTCTGATTTAGGTGAGCTGATTCGGGCTGTCCACTCTTCAAGCTAGCATGGGAGCATGTACATCTTGCTCACATTCAGACACCAAATATATTTGTTAATTAAGGCATCTTGATGCTGATATGAATTTCACCTTAGCTGACCCGTTGAATAAGGAAAGCCAGAGAGGGGCATTGGTGTTCTCTTGTGGTTTATACTATCCATAGAAACAACTTCATCTGTAGAACTCAATGCAAATGAACTATCATGATGAATAAACAGGCTTACTTATACCTCCTGCTTGAAGAACTAAGCTTCAGAAGGCTTATTACTTTTACAAGGCTCTAAAAATACCTGAGCAGGAGTTGAAGGATTCTCAGCTGGACTTCAAGAAATGGCAGTGAAGACAGTTGTTCACCACTGCCATGTGGGGAACTTAAAGCTCCCGCTACTATTCTGTGTCAGTTCCAGTGTTCTCTGCCAATGACATTCCATGAGCTGATCCAGCTTTCGAAAACCTGAGAAAATAATGAAAGCAAGGTATCAGAAGTTACCTTCTGTTGATTAATGAGTTAAACTGATTGAGCAAAGTCCCAGGTGAGCACCAGGGGAAAAAGGCAGGGCCACATTGCCAAGAACAAAGGGGGGAGGAGCTAGAATGATCTTCCTTGGAACATCTTGGTGAAAACAGCTCCCTCATGAAGACAAGAAACTGAAGGAGTACAGACCTCAAGGTAGGTGTGTGTTTGCAGTGACGTTATAATTACTTCCTTTGGCACTGACTACCACCTAGGTCAGCCTATAGGGACTGTGAAAGGCCAGCTTGAGCTTCTTCCCACCTCCAGCAGCACTGCAGCTCAAGTAATCACATGCCTAATGACTGCAGTCTGTGTACAGTTCCCACATGGGTGTTTAGAAGAGAAATCCAAATGTCAGACTTGTGGTTGTTTCTGAATTTTACATTTAATTTTGGCAATCTGCTGTTTTCCTACATAACACAGGAACCTATTACTTCAAGACAGGATGCATTTGCCAGATACAGAAAAGCTTAATACATGGTTGTGAAGCGACTTTTCTATTTACTTACACCTTTTGTTTGAAGTGGGGGAAATTATATATGTGCTTTGAGGAAAGAGCCTCTGGACCAGTAATTTTTTATCTTGCCTCTTACTCACATTGAGAAATAATGCTACGTAATGTCCCAATGCCAGACACATGAGTCAATGTAAAAATGATAGAACAGATTCTTTTAGAAATGCCTAGTAAAATGGTACTTTCCAAATCTAATAAATGGCTAAAATGTACAAGGTGAAAAGAAACAGGCACCACAGAGGGACACTATAAGCAAGGGGTATTTTTGTGGTAAAATTCATTGCATTGAAGCTTTTGGCATGTTAACCAGCCACTCTTGTTCCCATTCTTGGAATCAATTCTGACTCATATATTGCCTGGCAGAAGTTAATCTATAATGAATATCTGTATTTGGAAAACATGTTGCTTCTCAAAAACAAGGAGGACTCAACTTGCTCTGCTGGCTATCTTTTGATATCATCAAGAAGCACAAGAAGCATCAAGAGTTTGGTTTTGAGCCACTTCTCCACAAAGACAATAATAATGTTCAAGGCTTCAAGTTACTGTTAAAAGAGACAGAAACAGCACCATTTATACCTGTTTCCAATAAGATAAGAAATAATTTTGTCAAGCGTAATGACTTACACATCTATTCTTTACTACTCAAAATATTTTTCCTGACTTACGTTATAGGAGGTAAGATCAGCAGCTTATGAGAACTGTTTGCTTTTCCTGAATGAAAATTAACACTACCAAAGGTATGGTTTGGATATCAAAATAGTAGCAGTATTAAAGAAGAGATGAGTCTTCTATGTTCTTGCTATGTTTTTAGAAATGCTTCAAGTGAATGATGGCAAATTAGTTTTGGGAACACTCTACTGTCCTTCACAGAAAATACAACTGCCAATGCATAAGCATAGATGTAAGAATAGGAAATAAAGCTCTGGTTCAAAGAGACACTTAAAACTCTATGACATGTAGCCAAAAATACCCTTTTTTTCCTGCACTGAGATATGCCATCTTAGAGGCTCATTAGCAGACACCCTGTAAAAGGGAGTGCCTGATCCAAATTGCCTGATTTGAGATGAAAAGGGAGAAGTTTAGAACTTATTTTTATTTAAAAAGGACAAAGAGGTAAATGCTACAGAAGATTACTTTTTCATTACATATTTTTCACTTCTAATTCAGAATATCCTAGTTCACCAAGGCAGTAGAATGGGAAGGAATTTAACCAGCTTTCATAGCCAATTGAGGAGATAGCAGTGGATATATTTCTTTCTTGGAATGCCCACTGTTTAAATGTAAATTTACAGTACAAATTTTACTTTCTGACTAATCGTTATTAATTGCACACACAATCAGTGCTTTAACCACCAGAGAAACTGTGCCCTCAGGCCACAGAGAAGCACAATATAGCCGAACTCCAGTTCCATTATTTGTATATTACTTAAACACTCTGGCGTAAATTTATTGAGCAAGCATTTCCTCACCTTCTCTAATCAGGGTTATTAGAGAGATTAGGCAACATTCAGAACAGATGGAAGAGAATCAGTATCAGTGCTGTTGGAGAGCCAACTGCAGTGCAGCAGCTGGCAAGTCAGCAACTGGCAAGGTAATTAGATGTAGGTGGAGCTGTAGGAGTGGTGTGGATGACAACTCCAGTCAGTTGTAATGAAAAGCAGATGCAACTATTGAATTCAATGCATCTAGTAAATTGACACAAATGTTTGACAGGTTTAATTTTT